GGATGGGGTGACTAGAAAAGGAGGTTGGGGAAAACCAAAAGGGGGCCAAGCTCTGCGACGGCAGCGCTTGGCCTCAGGGCACCTCCCCCACTCTGAGCCGACTGCAGAGCAGGGCCTCCCCCAAGAGCCAGCCAAGGGGAAAGTGGGCGGCCTCCCCCAAGAGACAGCCACATGGGGAAGCGGGTGGCCCGCCTCACTTCCCTGCTCACTTGGGCCTCAGAGGCCAGCAGCTGGGGCGCAGGGCAGCCCAGGTGGCCAGGCGGGGCGGGGCGGCTGAGGCCAGCACACAACAGCTGGGCCCCAGACGGCCGGCAGCAGCTGGAGCCCAGAGCGGCCCTGGCGCTCAAGGCCCTTGGGGGAGGGGCCCGGGATGTGCGGCAGGGAGCCGCCTCCAGTCTGGACAGGGAAGCCGGGTCCGCGGCTGCCTGACATGCTGTGTGCTGGAGGCTCATATCACCAAGCTCCAGGGCCCCACACGAGGTCTCCAGGGGACCCCTGTACCGCCAACCACCCTCCATCACACCCTCCTCCCTCTCCGCCTGCACCCGCCCGCCAGCCTGGGCCCTTGCTGACCCCTTTTTCCCACGGAGTGGGCTCCGGCCCCCCAGCACAGCCGTGACCCCGGTGGGTTGACTCAGAACCACCTGGGCATCCCCAGCTCCCTCCCCAGGGGGAGGCAGTGAACTGAACCCTCACCCCATCCCGTCTCGGGGTGCCTCCCCTGAAGGACAGAGCCCCCTTTGGGCCTTCATTTCCCCAGCTTTCCTGCCGTGGGGCACACAGAGTCTAGGCTCAGTCAGAAGCCCCAGCGCCACCTGAATGGGAGCCTGGGGAACCCGGCATGGTCCTCCCTGAACGGGACAGTGGGGATGGGGCAGGGCCAGGGAAGCAGAGAAGGGCACACCCTGAGAGAGACACCACACAGAACCATGCTTCTCCTCCCCAGGCCCCCGTGTCTGCCCTCGCAGTCAACCTTGGTCCCTGGGGGATCGCCAGCATCCCCACGGTGCCTGGGCAGCATAACTGCAATTAATCACATGGTCATTGCCAGAGACGCTGAGCAGAGCCCCCAAACATCCTGCACCTTTGATGCTCACGAGGACCCTGTGAGGCAGGTGCTGTTCTCATCCCCGTTTTACAGATGAGGAACCCAAGACCCAGCTGCAGGCCCTGCAGCGGCCAGTACTTGGCTGTCCTACCCCATCCGCTCTGGTGCAGACGAAGTAGGTATCTGTCTAATATGCAAAAGGAGGGTTCTGGAACACCCTACCTGCCAGGAGGATTTCTAGAGTGGAGCCAGCCCACCCCACCCGAAGCTGGCCACTCCCCTCACCGGGCCTCAGGCCTCACCCCCACCGCCTGGTGCCCTGTACCCAGCCTGATGGTCGTTGGTCTTACACTGATTCTTTTAGAGAGAAGCAGGGTCTTGCTATGCTGCCCAGGCTGGTCTCAAACCCCTGAGTTCAAGCAATCCTTCTGCCAGGGCCTCCCAAAGTGCTGGGATTATAGGTATGAGCCACTGTACCCAGTCAAAACTAATTACTTTAAAATATCAGGCTGGGTGCGGTGGCTCATGCCTGTAATCCCAGCACTTTGGGAGAACAAGGCAGGTGGATCACCTGAGGTCAGGAGCTCGAGACCAGCCTGACTAACATGGTGAAACCCCGTCTCCACTAAAAAA